AAACACATTAATGGAATGGCTTAAAAAGTGCGTTCTTGTTGTTAAAGATTATAAGTACATTTTAAAGGGAAAAGACAATTGCCGTCATTCTGCTACTTTCTAAAGAATTGTCAAAATTATTTCTGAACAAAAAGGCTTTCTTAATTTTTAATGTAAATGTCAAAATGTATAAATTAAAAGGCTGTTGATCCAAAAGTCTCTTTTCTTTGTCTGTAGTAGTGTATAATGTATTAGAACAAATCTAAGATCCAAAAAAAATAAAAGCAAGTTTCTTTACTGCTCTGCATTTTTAAAAATCAGTCAGAATACTGTTTTGAGCTTTTGTGGAATCATTTGATGAATGAGAAAGAGTGTTTCTCTTGTTGCAATTTAGCGAGCAGTAAGAGAAAAGCAGACAAGTATTATTATGCTTTCATTTTTTCATTAAAAAATCTTAAAATTGGATCTGTCCATCAGTTGCAGAATTGTAAAATGTATCAGAAGGCACAGAACAGAACTGTTTACCACCCAGTCTTATTGGTCAGTATGTTTAAATCAGGTTTCTTTTCAGGACAGCTGTCATGGAAATTAATGTTTATGACAATCTGTCCTTAAAACCAATTCTATCTCCATTTCTTTCCCTCAGCATGACAAGGCAGCTGCAAAGCAATAAGGGGTCTGCCGTTCAGCTAAGAAAACATTTTCTTTAACTGGGGAAAAAGAAACATCAAATGCATATGCAAATTGTTATTTTCCTTAGGGACAACCCAAGCAACACAGATGTTCAATTGTGACCGTAAATTTACTTCTAAATAAGCACGACGGCTAATTAAACAGACAATAGTTCAGATCATTCAATTGAAGGCTCAATTGAGGACACTGAATAGAACTAACTGAAAAGAAGTATCATTTGGGTGCTGATGAAATATAAAAACAATAGGGACCATCATTAGGAATAAATCTGTGAGAGGCATGCATGATTTATGACAATGGGATATTATATAATTAACTGACCAATTACTGAGATGAGGTGAAGGACTCTTTCATCTTTCTTGTTTCACCTCACGTTACACATCACCACAGCTTTTGTAACAGAAGTGTGCTCTCATTGGCTCAGTCATGAATTTGAGCTTGATCCAGACCCTGCAGTGCAAAAGCTTGAATGCACAAAAAGCTTTCGATCTTTTGACCCGGGGAATGTCAGTGGGCAGTTTTCTAAAATTCAGCAGATATACAAAGAGGCAGTGTTTTTTTATATAAGCTTTGGTTCTGCGGTACATCTGATGCCTGGTGTCTGCACTGTAATAACAGATCCATGAACAGAATAGATTTCTTTTTAGGATTCATACAGGTCTCACAGCAAAACATTTCTTCTTCCTGACCGCCAAATGTACTCTGCTTGTACTCTGCTTTACAAACATCTAGTGTTGTGATGCACTAAATATTAGCCAACATGTTATCCGCTTAATGCTTTTTTAAAAACTCTATCTATAGTGTTGCATTAAGAAAATAAATCAGTTTGTATTATTAATTTAACCATCTAGTTTCAAACTTTAACAATGGAGTCTGAAAGACTCACTTTCTCCTCTACATAATTAAAGCCATGCCTTTACTTAATTGAGTGCAGGAAGTCTCAAACTTTCTAAATTTATTTATTTTTAGGTAAGACTTTAACACGAACACGATGAGAGCATGCAAACCACACACAGAAATGCCAACAGACCCAGCCGAGGCTCGAACCAGCAACCTTCTTGCTGTGAGACAATCGTGCTACTCACTATGCCATCATGTCACCTTAGCAAAGTGTGGAATGTTAACTATTCATGCTAAAAATATAAAGTCAGAAATTCAAGTCAAATAAATGTCTTACTGTTTTCTTTATGCTATGTCACAATGATGAACTTTTGTTATTTTTATCCTGTCTCATTCAATTCGACCTAGTTTCTTTTGTTCTGTTTCCCTCCACTAATTTGTTACTACGACTACTCATTTAATTAACCCTGTGTTCTTTTACTGTCAATCATCCTTCTAGTATACTTTCCTTGTTGGCTTTGTTTTGGCTGGTTATCTGTCGTTCATGGTGTGTTGTGCTACATGTTACTGTTAAGATTTCTTAAGAGCTATGATTGTTCATGAATCATTAAAAACTTTTGTTTTGTTTGTGCATTTCTTAGAGCAGCTACTTGTGAAAGTACACTGCTTGAAGGAGATCCCATAATAATCTAAAATAGCTTTATAGAAATAACAAAAGTATGATATTGCTGTATATAACTAAGTGTTTTAGGCTTATTTAATTATAAATATCTATAGATATATAGATATATAGAAAGTTTCTCAAAAAAAGAAAGCAAAAATTATATTAAATGATACTGACCATCTGGCATCATGACAAAAATATGTGAGTGGGTGGGCGGGTTAACCAGTGCTTTTGAAAACACTATTGGTTGGGCTTAGGAAAGGAGAAGGGTGGGTCAATCGATTGGTCAGTCAGTCAGTTATTCTACAGTGGCCTCTGGTGGATTCACATAAAAAGAGTAGGCGCAAATGGCATTAGCAAGAAAAAATTAAGAACTCAAAAAGCACACACAGTGGCCTCTGGTGGATTCACGAAAACAAAAACAAAACAAAAAACCCTCCTGGGACATATTTGACGCTCTCCAGAAATGTATATAGAGATATGTATTCAGAATGAGCCTTGTTTTCAGAATGAGAGTTGATTTTGTGGTATGTTTCAGATAAAAAATCCACTAGAAGGCGCTGTCTACATTGTTGTGAATCTGAAATATGTTAGAGTACTATTTTTAATGTTTCAGACGTCCTTCTTGTACATGCCCATGAAAAGAGGGGGCATGTTGTATGGATCACCCATTGAACCACTGACCTAAACCCTTCCCTAAACCCAACCAATAGCGTTGAAGAAAAAATTTGCATTGTAACCACATAGTTTTACCTTGATTTTACATTGCTTTTTCATCTTGTGAGGGGCCGTGCTTTACCTGACTCAAGCCCAAGAGCTCTGCATCACAAGTACAATACATTAAAAAGTGTGTTACCAAGCAAACTGACCATGCCAAAAAAGTTATCCAAATGGAGACAGACAGGTGAGATAAACGTATTTGATCCCAAATTACAGTCATCAAATAGTTTTGTGGTATTTATTTGCTATTGTACAAAGAACGGCAGGAAAATAATATCCTTTATTTGTTTATAATAGAAATAACATAAGTGTGAAAGAGAATAAAAGTTGTTGCTGTCAAACTGCCACAACATAGAGAAATCGGCTTAAAATTAGCTGGATTATCTTCTGCTGTGTGCTCAGCATAAGAATGTAACATGGATCAAAACATCTAAACTGAACAAGCACATTATGTCACAAGACGTGACCGTAAAATGAACAGAATCCTCTAGTATATCTATTTTTTTTTTCTCACTATCATTATGTTGCCCATTACAGTACCACATAGATGTCAGAAATGTGCCTTCTTGCAGCAGATCTTCATTTGTGTGTGATGAAAGAATTGCGTGTGCTGTTTTCTTCCTTAACACATTTTATAAGTTCCTCAAGAGTTCCCAACCAATACCATTATAAAAAGGCTATACACATACAGCAGACTGCATTATTTTGGATGTTTACTAAATCTTGTTGTTTTTTTTTTTTTGGTTTGAAACAAGAAGTTGCAGTGGACTTCCATATCGTATGATTTCAGTTAAATCAAAACCAAAACTGAAGTGTTTTTGTGAGGTAAATAAGAAACTGAACCTGAAAACTTGAGAAATGTCTTGAAATATAACATCTGAACAATGTCTTTAGGTATGGAAACCATAGTCACATTATTTTTCAATGGGCCATTGTCAGTTATTGCTTACTCATACCAAAGATTAAGGAATACAGGGCTGTTGAATGCTTGATTATGATTGCCTGATGAACAATTATTTTTTACAGAATTCATTCTTTCATTTTCCTTCGGCTAAAAGCCTTTATTCACCAGGAATCGACACAGTGGAATGAACCGCAAACATTTCCAGCATAAGTTTTACACAGCGGATGTTCTTCCAGCTGCAACCCAGTATAGGAAAACATCCATACACACTTATTCACACACATACACTACAGCCAATTTAGTTTATTCAATTTACTTGTGTTTGGACTGTGGGGGAAACCGGAGAAACAAGAAACCCACACAAACATGCAAACTCCACGCAGAAATGCCAACTCACCGAGCCAGGACTCAAACCAACGACCTTCTTGCTGTGAGGTGACATTGCTAACCGCCCAATACACTGAAAAAAATTATTCAAAGATGACTCCTTGGATTTACTCAATTTTTTTACGTAAGGTGGTAGTAAACAATTTATCTGTGTTGAATTTAAACAAACAAATTAAGTTGAACATTAATAAACTTAATTTGTTTGTTTAAATTCAACACAAATAAATTGTTTGCAACAGTTCTGCATGCAACACTTTTTTCAGTGTACACTAAATAATTTGAGATATTTCGCAGCCTATACTTACTTACTTACTCCCAGAGTCATTTATATTGAAGTTGATATTTAGCCGCACTATGTTGGTGTTTCGTAATATGCAATTTTTACGAGGTGGACCATTAACCCAACGCTCAACCCCCAACTTGGAGGACCAGGACATACACACATACATTGCAACAATTTAGTTTACCCAACTCACCTATAGTACATGTCTTTGGACTTGTGGGGGAAACTGGAGCATCCAGAGGAAACCCACGCAAACATGAGGAGAACATGCAAACTCCACACAGAAATGCCAACTGACCCAGCTGGGACTCGAAGGAGCAACCTTCTTATTGTGTTTATTTGTCAATAAAATACTTTAAATTATTTGAAAATAAGTGAGGGTCACATTTGAAATATTCCTTTTCCCACACGTTGAAGCTGTTTGAATTAATACAACCAACATTATCACCAACAAAACGCAAGAGATTCAATTTTAAAGATTAATTTCATGAATTCTTGGTCACCTGACACCTGTAGTACTAATTAAAACTGACCTGAAAGGTGGTCTGCACGTGATGTCCTTTTCCCTCGATACATTTATGACTGGCTTTCAGGTAAAAGCCCTTTGTTTGTTTTTTCGTCAGACGGTTGAAAAGATGATGCAGCTCAATGACTGGAAATCTAAATCTATTTAATAAGTGAAGTCACTGGCAGTTTAATGAGCTTCTGCGTGAAGGGGAGGCGCGCTGTGCCTTCATTTCTCCACGCGCGCGCCACTCTTCCTCCCAGTGCGGCTCGGAACTCGCAGCGACGGGTAGTTTACGGTCTGTTATGAGCAAGAGACACTTGATTCAGTTACAGATTTTACGAGGTTCATAAGACATTATGTAGCACTGAGCATTTGCGCTGAACGGCTGCGCGCAGTATGGTTGGAGACGTCGAGACTTCTGGAAAACATCCAGAGATCTAACAGACTCCCGCGTTATTTGGTTAGACACTAACAAACTTCATTCCGTCCTATTATACCGGAGACTAAATTATGATTTTCTTCAGAACTTGGTCAACTGTGAGACTGGTCACCGTTTTATTAAGCTTGGGAATTCACAAGAGCACCTGGAAAGCAGTAAGTTGTCTACGTGATACTGTTTTATATATTTATATGAAATCTTGCAATATGTTGTTATTGTGTGTTATATGTGTGAGCTAAATACAAAAGGGTTGTTTCAAGCAGCAAAACAATGAAAGTTATATAGTTATTTAATATTTTCCGTATATCAGTTTCCGCTTTAATTTTTAAACGAATTTATATATTTTCTAAACCAATATTAACGACTTTAAGTATGTTTTTTATTCACAGATGACACACACTAAAAGTAATTTAATGCAGTTTAATTCTTCTACACAAATAATAATATTATTGAAGTAAAAGTGTTTTAATTATTTTCTATTCTTTGCCAATATTCTTGAAAACTCTTGCTAGGTTTTGCCTGTTTGTCAGCACTCAGCAAGAGAATTGAATTCATATGATTCATATGATACTATTATATATTATTGTAATAGTATCATATGATATTAAACTATATACGTATAATAAAATGTAGCACGATGATACAGTGCTCAGCATTAAGTACAGCCCATTTTGAAAATGTATATTTTATCCATTTCTCAGTGAATAGAGCAAATGTATTTTGGTGCATTCAAACAAAACAGATTTATTAAGCTGATAAATTTTTTATGAAATAATATTTTAGTCAACAAACATATTTAGAAATTGAAATATAATACAATTAAATTAAAGCAAAATATTGTAAAAATAAAAAAATAAAACAATTACAACCTACAAATTTTCAACTACATTTTTCTTTTTTTCTCCTCTTTTTAAAATTTGTATTTATTATTTTTCTATAACATATACATTTGGGTGTACTAATATTTCGACCATTATTGTTACTTATTTTGTTAGAGAAGCTCCAGATTTGGCTTCAGTACTGACCAATCTAATGTATATGCTCAAATATAATATTGTAAAGCTTTAAAAAAAGAAAGAATTTAAAAGAAAGATTTTTGTTGTATATATATATATATATATATATATATATATATATATATATATATATATATATATATATATATATATATATATACATACATATGTACGTATGTATGTACTGTGTGTGGATCACATGCATGTCATGTTGAATGCTGACTGATGAAACATTTTACATTTTCATATTCTTCTCACAAAGGTTATTTGAAACATTATAATAGACACTTTCACTTTTGTACATTTGTTTTGATGCAGCTATCAAAAGGGGACACCTCTTCTTTTGAAATCAAAAGTCATTACAATTTGATCATACACTGACTGGACAGCAGGGACAGTTTTTGTCGTGTACTCTACAACAGACAAAACATCATTCCAAATGTCAGAAATGAAATCACAAATGTTAAAAGTGTTTTATTATGCTGCTGAAGTTGGATCTTGTTAGGCTAGTCGCGTAACATGTCCATTGACTCAATCATCCTCTCTTGTAGGTTCAAAGTAAGTCATGTTTTTCACTGTTTAGTCACCTTTTGTGAGTGCAAATATTCATAATTAATAATAGATCATAAATCATTCATGCATAACTATAAAAAACAGTTTAGGTTATGGAATAACATTTCAGACTACAGTAACATGCCTACTTTCTAAAGTATTCATTGGCAAATACTTACAATTGCCTCCACTTTCAGGCGAGATTTCCTTAAGAGGTATTTGCATGTTTATTTTAGAAGGCACCATGCTGCACCATTGATGTAGACAAAGTATAGTGTATGCTGTTTCAATGATGTGTCATACAAGTTAAAAGTGTTTCATAATGGCCCTGACATCAAAGTGTAACAACATTGGCCTCAAGATTCAGGTTCAGGTCTCACTTTGAGAGAGATTTGCATGTTTATTTTAAAAGTCAATGCACCGCACCACCGAATTAGACAACGTGTGGCATATTCAGTCACAGTTAAATACATCTATAAAATACCGGTGGCTACAGATTTAGGTGAGATGTCTTTGAGGGAGAATGAATAGATATATACAACTGTGCATTTCTTTTAAAAGGCATAATACTGAGCTAAACATGCAGATGATGAAGTATAATCCATGCCGTTTGATTGCCACTACATTCCCTATGGATCGATTCAGCGCTATATTTAATGCGCTGCTTTGTCACAGAAGTTGATTTGATTAGCCGTACTGACCTGAGATCCTGGCCTCCTTTTAATGATGTTTTGATGACCATTTCCAGTACAGGATCACTGACACATTTCAACTCAAGAGGCTAAATTAGGTTGCTGTCATGAAAATTAAGCATGCTATTTAAGTGACTTATTGTCACTTGTAGGCTTATGACGGTATATAATTTTTGTTGTTGCAATTAATAGCTTTTATAATGAAATTGAGCTGAGCTGCAATACATATTACTTTTCTGGTATGATAACCAAAAAATACTGAGTGTATTGTTTTATTGTATGTACGTGTTCAGAGTAAGCAAATGTTCCAACCAAATCAAAATCCAAAAGGATTATAATGCTCAAATTGGACTCTTTACAATGAATAATTTAACAATAATAAATTAATAATAGTCAATGCATTAAAATCAACAGTGAGAAAAGCCAGATATATTACAGTTGCTGTTGATATTTAATTATTACTGAAATGTATTTTTTGTTAACGGGCACCTATGATGAAAATCAACTTTTGTAAGCTGTTAAGACAGAACTATGTCTAGGTATAGTGTGCCAACTTTTATATTAGAGTGATATAAAGACAATAAGTCTCTTTTTTTTAATTGTTAAAATCGCTGGGTCAGTTGGCGTTTCTGTGTGGAGTTTGCATGTTCTCCCTGTGTTCTCGTGGGTTTCTTTCGGGTGCTCCAGTTTGCCCCAGAAGTCCAAAAACATGTGGTATAGGTGAATTGGGTGAGCTAAACTGTCCGTAGTGTGTAGTCATGTGTGTCGTGTGTAGTTGCAGTATGTGTGTCAATGAGTGTATATGGGTGTTTCTCAATGATGGGTTGCAGCTGGATAGGCATCTGGGGCGTAAAACATATGCTGGATAAGTTGGCGGTTCATTCCGCTGTGGTGACCTCTGATTAATAAAAGGACTAAGGTGAAAAGAAAACGAAAGAATGAATGACAGTAAAATCACTACATAATTCATCTCCAGAGACACATAGTGTCAGTATAATTATAAAAAAAATGCTTCAATCCTGGTTTGTTGACTTAAATCAGGTTTATTTTGTATATTAACATAATAGATGTCCATACAGCAGTGGATATTAACGTGTATCCTGTCACGTTTGCCGTGCAAAAACAGTTTAAGGCTAAACGTCAATGTGCATGCACGGTTATGCGCGCAAACTTTAAAACATTGTAAATCTATTTCTATTTCAAATAAATTATCAAAGAACTTTCAATCAGTATTTCAGCATGTAGTAGGCCATATTGCCAAGCACAAATGAAAACTAATAGGAGAAAGCAATTAAGTCTCCAATCATTTTGCACTGTTATGAACACCCAAGTCATGAACATTGCAGTAGGGCTCCACAATATTGGAAAAAACTGACATTGCCATATTTAGTTTTTCTACAATTTTATATATTGTTATATAAATTTATCATTTTACATTGATTGGGATTATTTTGTAGGGGAGTGAATGTGTATAAAACATAATAAACGTTTTGTAAGCATAGATGAATACAAAACGCTCTCAGAAATAAAGGTACAAAAGCTATCCCTGGAGGGTTAACTTTTCAAAAGGTACACTTTAGTAGTTTACAGCTGCACATTACCTTTAGGGTACACCTTTGTACCTTTTAAAATTCATTTTTGTACCTTTAAGGTACTATGAGGTACACATTTGAACTTTTTAGTTTATTAATATGTACTTTTAAGGACTTGTTAGGAACAAAAGGTACTTTTGAAGTGTTTTGACAGCATTGAAGAACAGAAATTCAATATTAGACACCTAAAATAACACTCTACACTTACTGGCCACTTTATTAGGTTCATTTGTCCAACTACTCGTTAAAGCAAATTTCTAATCAGCCAATCATATGGCAGCAATTTCATGCATTTAGGCATGTAGACATGATCAAGACGATCTGCTGCAGTTCAAACCGAGCATCAGAATGGGGAAGAAAAGTGATTTAAGTGACTTTGAGCATGGCATGGTTGAAAGAACCAGATGGGCTGGTCTGAGTATTTTAGAAACTATTGATCTACTGGGATTTTCAAGCACAACCATATCTAGGGTTTACAGAGAATGATACGAAAAATTTAAAAATATTCAGTGAGAGGTAGTTCTGTGGATGCAAATGCCTTGTTGATGCCAGAGGTCAGAGGAGAATGGTCAGACTGGTTTCAGCTGATAGAAAGTCAACAGTATCTCAAATAACCACTCGCTACAACTGAGGTATGCAGAAGAGCATCTCTGAACGCACAACACATCAAACCTTAAGGCGGATGGGCTGCAGCAGAAGACCACACTGGGTGCCACTCCTATCAGCTAAGAACAGGAAACTGAGGCTACAATTCACACAGGCTCACCAAAAATGAACAATCGAAGATTGTAAAAACGTTGCCTGGTCTGATGAGCCTGGGTTTCTGCTACGACATTCAGATGGTAGAGGCAGAATTTGGTGTCAACAACATGAAAGCATGGATCCATCCTGCTTTGCATCAATGGTTCAGGCTGGTGGTGGTGGTGTAATGGTGTGGGAATATTTTCATAGCACAGTTTGGGCTCATTAGTACCAAGTGAAAATTGTGTCAGCGCCACAGCCTACCTGAGTATTGTTGCTGACCATGTCCATTCTTTTATGACCACAGTTTACCCATCTTCTGATGGCTACTTCCAGCAGAATAACGCGCCATATCATAAAGCGTGAATCATCTCAGACTGGTTTCTTGAACATGACAATGAGTTCACTGTACTCAAATAGCCTACACAGACACCAGATCTCAATCTAATAGAGCACTTTTGGGATGTGATTGAGCGGGAGGTTCTCATCATGGATGTGCAGCCAACAAATCTGCAGCAACAGCATGATGCTATCATGTCAATATGAATTAAAATCTCTGAGG